CCCACCTGGATGGTTCATCTGAAGAGAGAAGTACTTAAGAATCAGATGCCTTCACAGAAAACAGATGTTGATGTTTTGAGTGCATTCAGCTGGCTGTGGTTTGGGTATCAGCTGTGGCTTCAGTGTTTGGTGAGGGATTTGTCCTACTGGATTCAGGACTATTGATAGGAGACCAGCATCAAATCTGTGCTGTGCATCATCATCTATGAGGAGCACCAGAAGGAGTAAGCCCTGTATTGCAACAACTCATTTGTTTGACTACAGTTCATTCTCCCTCTATGTAATAGCAGAAGAATGTCCTGGCCCACATTGAAGCCTGGGGTGATTCAGCACTTTTTCATAGAGCAGATTGACCTTGGGTGCATGTGTTGCTTACAAAGGTACTCACCAGGTAGATAAGACAGGATGTGGGGACAAAGGAGATCATACAATACTAAACCCTTTGCTATCAATACAGTTATCAAATAAAACAGCAGTTGGCCCTCCTGATAGCACTCTCCTTTCACCATCTCCTACTTTTATTAGCATGAAAATTTTCAGAAGGAACATTTCCTGCCCATAAAGGAAGGGAAAGGAAGGAAGGTGATGAAGGATTCCAGCTGAAATAGTTGTTCTAACATGTGTAAAGAGGTACAAAACTACCAAATCGTGAACAATTGGATTAGTGTCAAGGTATTTTTTTTTTTTTTTAAACCGTGAAAGTTTATGGCAGCTCTGGTTTCTGTTAAGTAGCAAGTTGCCCTACAGTGAAAATGGAAAGTATACAATTTGTTTCTGTCACGCTTGTCCAAAATGATGGTGACCTCTCACAAGTGTTACATATGTGCACCGTCAGCGTTAGTTTATTGTCTATTGTAGGTAATAAGTGATTGAAACTAAATGTCTTAATTGCTTAAGAAATAGTGTTTCCCAACAGCAGAGAAGTATCTGCAATTTGCTTTGTAGGAGGGGCTAAAAGCTCCATAACCTCAGGGCAAAGCTGCTGAGAGCTCTGAGCGAGTTCCAGTCTGTGCAAGGTAAGCTTTTTGGCTTTTGGATTTGCCTAGGGAATTGGTGTTCTTGATGCTAAAGTCAGTGGATGGATTTTATGGGTTAAATACCTTCAGGTGCATTCTTTGCTAACGTGGTTTTATGCACAGGTAGGCATACTTGTGCTGAGCTGGAGTAGTTGGGATTTCTCTATGGCTCTGCCTGTACTGATTGCCAGCAAGATGTTACCCAAAACAAAATTGGGCGCTGGCCTAAAGAAAGGAGAGGAATGGGGACTGTTGTGAATTAGATTGAGTGCAGTGCTGGGAATGATAAGGTGAAGTCATTGTCCTTCCCCCCGATCCTTACCCATAAGGAAGTGAGGAGCAGGGAGGTCCAAGAAGGCTGGACATTGCTCAAAAAGGAAATCCTGAAGTCACAGGAACAGAGTGTCCCCCTGTGCCATATGATGAGCTGGTGGGGAAGAAGGCCGGTCTATCTCAGCAGGGAGATTTGCTGAGACTCCCAGAAAAAGAGACAGTTGTCTACATTGTAAAGGAGGAATCTCCATCCTTTACTGGATGCCACAGGCAACATTACCAGTGAGGATGAGAAAAAGTCTGAGGATCTTAATGCCTTCTTTACTTCAGTCTTCAACAGTCAGACCAGTTATGGGCAGGGTACTAAGCCCCATGAGCTGGAAGACTGAGATAGGGAACAGCATAAGGCCCCCAGAGTTCAAGAGGAAACGGTTAGCAAACTGCTGTTCTACCTGGTCTGTCTGAAGACCATGGAGCCAGATAGGATCCAGCCAATGGTACTGGGAGACTTAGTGGAACAGCTTGCCAAGCTGCTTTCAATTGTTTCTCAGCAGTCCTGGTCAACCAGGGATGTTCCAGATGCCTGGAGGCTTCCTAATGTGACACTCATCTCTTAGAAGAATTGGAAAGATGATCCAGCAAACTGTAGTCCTGTCTGCCTGGCCTCTGTATCAGAGAAGGTTGCAGAGCAGCTTAAGTGCTATCACATGGCTTGTTCTGGACAATGTGGGATTCAGGTATAAACTGCAAGGGTTCATGTAAGGAACGTCCTGCTTGACCAACCTGCTCTCCTTCTATGACCAAGTGACTTGCCAAGAGGATGAGGGAAAGGCTGTGGATATGGTCTACCTGGACTTCAGTGAAGGCTTTGACCCTGTCTT